CTGCTGAGTCAGTGACCAAACATATTGAAGATTCAAGAAAATATTAGTTTTCTGTTCTTCATCTATGACAACCTCAAACTAATTTTGACTCTGTCTTCATCAGACAGTACGTGTGTGCAGCAGTGTCCTAACAGTTACTATCCTGAGACTGAGGAAGAGCGCGTGTGTGAGCGCTGCCACTTTAACTGCGAATCATGCACAGGCCGCCACAGTAGGCAGTGTGTCACCTGTAAACCTGGATTCCTCAAGCAGGGAAGCAGCTGTGTGAAAAAATGTTCTGAGAAGTAAGAACACATAGTAACAGATAAATGATGAAGGATAAATCCAACAGTTTTTGCTACACAATGTAGTAGTTTTAGGTTACCAATTACTGTGTTTACGATACAATTTGTTTTATTACCAAAAAATAATCATTATAAATACTTTGCTGAACTCCTGTTGGCATTACAGTTGCTGCTGTAAGAGAATTTTAAAGATATCTACTTAATTATAGAAAATAGGAAAATAGAGAAATATTGAAAACAAATACAGATGTCTGATAATACTGTTTTGTTAATATCTGATATTGTAAATGTCTCAGTATCCCACAAGCAATTCCAGCATATTTGGTGAAACCCATGCATTGCATTATCTGAGATTAAACAGATACAGATATTACATAATCATGCTAATATCAGCCCAATAATGTCCGTCAGCCAATATTATCTGACATCCCTATATACAGTATGTTTGATATAATAATAAATACAGGTACACATCAACAAGTGTAAACATGCTCTTTTAGTAAATTCCAAAAAAAAAAAAAATTTCTTTTTAGTTACTTTGGAAACACGGAGACCATGGTGTGTGAGCACTGTGACCCTTCCTGTAGCCGGTGTTTTGGTCACGGGAACAGAAAGTGTCTCAGTTGTCACCAGAACTACGTCTACCTGCGACAGAGGGGACAATGTCTGCAGAGCTGTCCTTCAAACTACTTCCTGGACAAATGGTCCAAGACTTGTCACATCTGTCATCCAACCTGCAGGACTTGCAGCGGTAAAATAGAACTTTCTTTGTTCTAGTTGCAAGTTGCAATCACTTCTTGAATTTGAACATTTTATTTGTTGACATGTTGAGCCCAGTGGTGACGCATTGCACTGGTTTGATTGGTTACATCTGTTCATCTGTGTCCTCCAGATAAGGGCGCCACAGCCTGCCTCTCCTGTTATGAGGGCTACACAATAATGGGCGGCATCTGTCAATCTCAGTGTATGATTGGCTACTATGGCACTCCAAAGGTGACACGTTAAGCCTGTATTTATAACTGAACTCCTCTGCTAATGAATAATTGGATTTCTAAATTCTCTGATATGTTTTTATTTTCCTAAAGGTTGTATTTTGTTGATTTGTTTTGTGTATGAGGACACGTCAGAGTGAATTAGATCAAATAATATTGAAATATTTTTGGCTTTCATAACTGAAACATGTTTTAGTCTCGTCTCCAAAGCGTCTCCAACAACTATGACTAGTTTTATCCTGGTCAAATGTTTTAGTCAGTTATCAACCCTCAAAATAAAATTGAATTAAATTGAAACATCAAACTTTTAACCAAACCTAAGATGAAAACCTTTCAAAGTGATTGAAGCTTTTGCAGTCCTCACCTTTCATTAATGCTAAAATATGGGATATGTAGTAAAAGAAATGTGTCAGGGCTGTGAAATTTAAATTTTAAATGTGATTAATTTCAAGGTAGCTGTGTCGGGATTAATAGTGACTATAAATATTCATAAAAATAATAATGATGAATTAAGACGTATCAACAAAATAGGAAGAAAAAGACAATTAAACCTTTGTTAATATTACAGAAAGACAAATAACAGTTCATTTGGTATTTTAAGCTCCAGGTGCTATGGTGGAACAAAAATATTTCCAGCAGTGTGGGAATGATATGCAGTACATCTTATTTTACCTAATCTGTTGAGTTTCTCAAATTATTAATTTCATAATCAACTTATACATTTTTACCCTTAATTCTCTTCAGCTTTTTCAATTTGCCTTTGAACTTCCGATTTACTACTGTATTATTTGCTTAGCAATTTATTCTTTTTTTTCCCACATTCATTTAAAAAACAACTTGACTTATCTAGTAGTATATTTTTTGTGTTATTATTCTTGCTGTAGAGCTCTGATTCCAGAAGTGATGAGCAGGACTGTCATCCTTGTGACCCCTCCTGTGTTGACTGTCGAGGTCCAGACAGGTGGAACTGCACTGTGTGCCCTGCTCTACAGGTCTTAGCTGATGACGGTCGCTGTTTGAGCTGCTGTGGAGATGAGAAACAACACAATAAATCGATATCCTGGGAGTGCTGTGACTGCCAGGCCTCACAAGGTAATACACAGTAAATCCTGGACTGTACTGATTTTAACTTTTTTACACAGAGCACATCACCATTGTAATTTTAAAGGGAAAGTGGTCAAGAACATAATTCATCATAAATTAAATAAACTATAGCTTTGTACAATCATTATTCCACACAGCCTGTAAATGGTAAGAATATGCTCTGTCTTGCTGTGACCTAAAATAATAAAATGTGAATGATCTCTTAGCCTTCAGTCATCACAGACAAGACTCCACTTCATTAGGATCAGAGTGGTGTCAAACACATGTTCCTCACAGCAACAAAGTCAGTATTGATCTGACTCTGTTAAATGTAAACGGATGTTTTCCACCTTTATTTTCAGATGAGTGTGTCATGGGTGTGAACTTTGTGGTGGAGAATATGGAGGGGGAAAATGGCATGGCCAGACTCTTAGTCACTATCTTTGTGCTCCTCTCAATTGCTTTGGGTGGAGGCCTCTTCCTCCTCCTCAATGTCAGATGGAGATCTGTGGGGATGGCCTCCCTCACTAAAGCTGGAGGCTACGAGAAACTGAGCACCAACAGAGGCCATGCCTCTCAGAACACCTCCTCATTTGGGGAGTACAGCGACAGGACCATTGAATGTAGGGAGGAAGAGGATGAGGAGTATGAAGACATCATATACATGGGAAAAGACGGGACAGTGTATCGGAAGTTCAAGTACGGGCTCCTGGATGAAGATGACATTGAGCTTGAGTACGATGATGAGAGCTACTCATACAAATGAAGGTGAAGCACTGCAAACATACTACAATATATAATACTATAAAGTACTTTGCTGGATGAATAAAGTCTTTCAATAACATTTGTTTTTGTTATCGTGAAGAATCAGGAACCAAGGTTGTCTGAACTACATGGGAGATCTATCTCCAGGTTGATGTGTTTTTTACAACTCTACCTTGATTACTTACATATATTCTGGACTATAAGTTCCTCCGGACTATAAGTCGCACCAGCCAAAAAATGCAAAATGAAGAGGAAAAAGAAAGAGTTATAGTCTGGAAAGTACAGCACTTTTTTAGTTAGTACTTAGGTTTGGTAGAGCATGTCAACTGACAGAATGCATTTAATTCACCTTGAGTTATAGCAGTTACCACGGAAACACCACTGATGGCTGACAAAGTGAGAAGTTCATGGCCTTTAGTCATGTACCCGGGTTATGTTTTGATGAACACAGGTTTCACCTCTGTTTTTAATGGTTGAATCTCCCAAGTGCGTCTTCATTTCTCAGCAGTCTGTAACCACTGGCCTGTTAATGCACTTCCCACATTAGTTTCACTTTTAAAAAGTTCCACCTTCTTCCATCATTCGACTCATTACTAAAACATTTTACCATCAACTCTTTACCACATCTTCTTGAAATATTCATTTTGAAACTCAAGATTGTCCATTTCTATTACTATAGCAAAGGATACATACACATACATTTTTGTCTGTGTAATAGTTATAATATAAAATACTATACATTACCATTAACCCCCAAATATTCTTATTGGCTATTTGCTCTCATCTTCAGGCTTTGAGTTCCAGGTACTTGTGAAATGTAGCTCAGGTAGGTGACATGCTGTTGTTGATTTGTTATTTTCTACTCATTTCTTTTTAATCCAAATCCCTGTTGTATGTATTTGGCTGTAATGACTCTGGTCTAGAATTTTGCTTGTCCCTATTATTAGTAGTGGTTCTCCTTTCCAAGACTTCTTTTGGACATTCTGTCCTTCCTTTTAGACTTGCTGCATGATGGCTTCTTCCTTTTTTATACATTGTTTCGCTAACATCTTCATAAACTATTGCCTGCCATCTTTGGGGTAAAAAAAAACACTGTAGTAATTTCACATCCAATAAATGCACAAAAACACAGACAGAGTAGGAGAATTTACTCTATAAAGGTCAGTCTGTCTTTTACTTGAACAATCAATACCTGCGTTTTACAATGGGATAATGTAGTGGGGGAAGACACAGGTCTGTGTAGAGAACAACTTTTGCTTTGCACGTGTGAATGCAAAATGTTGGTTGTAAAAATATTAAATATATGAATATGTTATTAACTATCCAATAACCAGTGTTGATTTGATTAAGTCAGTAATGACATGGAATTAACTATGTGGAAGAGAATGCTAAATTTGTGTTTGTTTTATTAAAAATGTTAAATTTTATCCACAGGAAAGAATGATTTGTCTCTTCCCTAACAAGTTTACCATTCAGCATCTGAACTTTCTTTGGTGATGTTTCACCTCTTCCCACTTGGACCTCTTATCCAAGTGATACTCAATTAAAAAACAAGCCCTGGACAGTTGGCTACTGTTAAACTTCTTTTTTTTCTCAGATGTTGGTTACAGTCATTAACCTGACCATGCGGACGCTGAATGTTACTTGTATGAATCAACCTCAATGTTTTGGGACTAAGTGATACTGGATTC